TGCTATCGAGCACAATTCAAAGAGCTGACTTTGGCCTATAAAGCCCTATATGGTTCTGGCCCAGCTTAATTGTCCAAATGTATCTCTCTCTATGATCCACCTTGGAGTTTAAGATTGTCGGGGAGGCCCTGCTCTCAATCCCGCCACTCTCGCAAGTGAGATTGGCAGGGACGAGAGACAGGGCCTTCCCTGTGGTGGCCCCCCCATCTGTGGAACACACTCCCTAATATCCTTTAGGAAAAATCTTGTGGGACCAAGCATTCGACCAACAGACACAGTGATAATAATGCAAATGATTTCTGTGACTGACAATGGACAGTCCTCGTGGACAACAAGTTAAACATGAGCCAACAATGTGATGTGGCGGCAAAAAAAGCCAATGGGATTTTTGCCTGCATCAATAGGAGCATAGTGTCTAGATCTAGGGAAGTAATGCTACCCCTCTATTCTGCTTTAGTTAGACCACACCTGGAATATTGTGTCCAATTCTGGGCACCACAATTCAAGAGAGATATTGACAAGCTGGAATGTGTCCAGAGGAGGGCGACTAAAATGATCAAGGGTCTGGAGAACAAGCCCTATGAGGAGCGGCTTAAGAGCTGGGCATGTTTAGCCTGAAGAAGAGAAGGTGAGAGGAGATATGATAGCCATGTATAAATATGTGAGAGGAAGCCACAGGGAGGAGGGAGCAAGCTTGTTTTCTGCTTCCTTGGAGACTAGGACGCGGAACAATGGCTTCAAACTACAAGAGAGGAGATTCCATCTGAACACGAGGAAGAACTTCCTGACTGTGAGAGCCGTTCAGCAGTGGAACTCTCTGCCCCGGAGTGTGGTGGAGGCTCCTTCTTTAGAAGCTTTTAAACAGAGGCTGGATGGCCATCTGTCAGGGGTGATTTGAATGCAATATTCCTGCTTCTTGGCAGGGGGTTGGACTGGATGGCCCATGAGGTCTCTTCCAACTCTGATTCTTTGATTCTTGGATTATGACTCTGGATTTGGATTTGTTTAACTTTTAAATGGATGTTTATAATTTGTTGTTTTTAAATAATGTTATAATTACGATTTTATTACTACTGTTTGTTTGGCATCTAATGGTTGCTGGTTGTGAGAGGGATGGGCTATAAATATGTGAAATAAATAAATAACATGAGCCAAGAGTGTGATGCAGTAGCTAAAAAAGGCAATGGGATTTTGGGCTGCATAAGAAGGAGTATAGTGTCTAGATCAAGGGAAGTCATGGTGCCTCTCTATTCTGCTTTGGTCAGACCTCTTTATCTGTGTCCAACTCTGGGCACCACCTTTCAAAAGAGATATTGACAAGCTGGAAGGTGTCCAGAGGAGGGCGACTAAAATGATCAAAGGTCTGGAGACCATGAATCCCTCTGAGCAGTGTCTCAAAAAACTGGGTATGTTTAGCCTGCAGAAGAGAAAATTGAAAGGAGACACGAGAGCCATGTATAACTATGTGAAAGAGTGCCATAAGGAAGAAGGAGCAGGCTTGTTTTCTGCTGCCCTTGAAACTAGAGCCCCGTCTACACTGCCAAATAAAATCCAGAGTAATTGCTTTGAACTGGATTATATGGCAGCACAGACTCAAATAATCAGTTCAAAGAAGATAATAAGGATTATCTGCATTGATAATCTGAATTATATATCAGTGCAGAAGGGGTCTAGGACTCTGTATAAATTGTGGGTGAAACATATTATGAATGTCCCCCCAGGGGTGAGAAAAGCAGTATATAAATACTCTAAATAATAATAATAATGTTGGTCCCATCTCAAAGATATCTCATTATGGAAGTATGTATATGTATTTTGGCTCTTTTTCTTCTATTGGCACCTTTGGCTTTATTAACTAACTATAAGCAATTAACTAACTACAAGCAACTATTTACAAAGTTATTTGCAAAAATTATTTATTTATGACATTTGTATGACGACCTTCTCATCCCGAAGAGGACTCAGAGCAGCTTACAAGATATATATATATATACATACACACATACTATATATAAATATATACACACACACACACACACAATATATTATATTATTAGCATAGTACAGTATCAGTATTATATATTACAATATTCTATACCATTATCTATATAAATAAAAATGTAATGTTTGTTTGTGGGATTAATAGAACTCAAAAACCACTGGACAAAATGACACTAAATTTGGACAGCATATACCTAACAACCCAATGTATGTTCTTCACTCAAAAAATTGATTTTGTCATTTGGGAGTTGTAGTTGCTGGGATTTATAGTTCACCTACAATCAAAGAGCATTCTGAACTCCACCAATGATGGAATTGAACCAAATATGGCATACAGAACTCCCATGACCAACAGAAAATACTGGAAGGATTTGGTGGGCATTGACTTTGAGTTTTGGAGTTGTAGTTCACCTACATCCAGATAGCACTGTGGACTCAAACAATGATGGTCTGGACCAAACTTGGCACAAATACTCAATATGCCCAAATGTGAACACTGGTGGAGTTTGGGGAAAATAGACCTTGACATTTGGTAGTTGTAGTTACTGGGATTTATAGTTCACCTACAATCAAAGAGCATTCTGAACCCCACAACAACAGAATTGGGGCAAACTTCCCACACAGAACCCCCATGACCAACAGAAAATACTTAAGGCCATCCAGTCCAACTCCCTTCACCAGGACAAGAAAACGTAATCAAAGCCCTCCTTTTTTATTTATCGTGTCAGTGCAACCAGTCAATTATATTACATTTCTAACAGAACAAAGCAAAAAAAAACAAACAAACAGATAAAATACAAAATTTGTGAGTTTGGTAGTTGATTAAATGTCCTTTGACCAGTATCTGGCCACTTGGAGTGCTTCTGGTGTTGCTGCAAGAAGGTCCTCCATTGTGCATGTGGCAGGGCTCAGGTTGCATTGCAGCAGGTGGTCAGTGGTTTGCTCTTCTCCACACTCGTATGTCAAGGATTCCACTTTGTAGCCCCATTTCTTGATGTTGGCTCTGCATCTCGTGGTGCCAGAGCGCAGTCTGTTCAGCGCCTTCCAAGTCGCCCAGTCTTCTGTGTGCCCAGGGGGAGTCTCTCATTTGGTATCAGCCATTGGTTGAGGTTCTGGGTTTGAGCCTGCCACTTTTGGACTCTCACTTGCTGAGGTGTTCCAGCGAGTGTCTCTGTAGATCTTAGAAAACTAATTCTAGATTTAAGTCGTTGACGTGCTGGCTGATACGCAAACAGGGGATGAGCTGGAGATGTCTCTGCCTTGGTCCTTTCACTATTGGCTGCTACTTCCCGGCGGATGTCAGGTGGTGCAATACCAGCTAAGCAGTGTAATTTCTCCAGTGGTGTAGGGCGCAGACACCCCGTGATAATGTGGCATGTCTCATTAAGAGCCACATCCACTGTTTTAGCGTGGTGAGATGTGTTCCACACTGGGCATGCATACTCAGCAGCAGAGTAGCATAGAGCAAGGGCAGATGTCTTCACTGTATCTGATTGTGATCCCCAGGTTGTGCCAGTCAGCTTTCGTATGATATTGTTTCTAGCACCCACTTTTTGCTTGATGTTCAGGCAATGCTTCTTACAAGAAAGCCCTCCTGACAAAGAGCCATCCAGCCATAGAGATAGAGGGATAAATATGATTCACGCACACAGAGATATAGTATCATAGATTTGAAAGGGCCCCTTAAAGAAGACAATTATATGCGGCATGTTCCAGAGTAGGCAAACCAGACAATCTCCACATCAACACTGACAAAGAAACAGCAAGAAATACTGTTTCCCCACAAGCATAAAGAAATTGCTTTATTAAAATAATTACTTTATTTTCCAGATCACCAGACTGGGCCACAGCAACGCCTGGCAGGGGATGGCTAGTATTGTAATATTATTAGTAATATAACATGTAATATAAAATATATAATTATAATCTCATATTATTATTAGTATTATATTGTGTTACATTATATTACTAGGTTCTTGTTGGTTTTTTCGGGCTATAGGGCCATGTTCTAGAGGCATTTCTCCTGACATTTCGCCTGCATCTATGGCAAGCATCCTCAGAGGTAGTGAGGTCTGTTGGAAATAGGAAATTGGGTTTATATATCTGTGGAATGACCAGGGTGAGACAAAGGACTCTTCTCTGCTGGAGCTAGGTGTGAATGTTTCAACTGACCACCTTCATTAGCATTTGAAGGCCTGGCTGAGCCTGGGAAAATGTTCTGTTGAGAGGTGTTAAGATGTGCCTGGTTGTTTCCTCTCTGCTGTTTTGTTGTTGTAATTTTATATATAATATATATATAATATAATATATTATATTATTAGCATAGCACAAGAGACAAGGTAGAACAAAATGCTGTTTTGCTGTTATAATTTTAGAGTTTTTTAATACTGGTAGCCAGATTTTGTTCATTTGTTTTGTTTTGTTGTTGTAATTTTATATTATATATATATATATTATATTATTAGCATAGCACAAGAGACAAGGTGGGACAAAATGCATGCCTCCATGGAAAGTAATAAAGAGAATTAGGGGGCTTATACGCCCTGCATCTAACTATATCCCTGCTTTGGGGAATAATTAATTTGGATTCATTTCCATTTCTTCAGTCTTGTTTCCAAAGGCAGAACAGAACAAACACAATTTGCGCATGCGCCAAACCCCCTCCACTTAGTTCCTATCACCGTTTACAAACACAATCTGCGCATGCGCCAAACCCCCTCCACTTAGTTCCTATTTCCGTCCCGCCCACCGTTGAAGTGCATGCGTATCGATCCTAGAGGGAAATCCAGCTTGGTCTTGCTCCGCGCATGCGTCCAAGCGTCCCCATTTCGCGCAGGTGCCGCTTCTAGTTCTCACTAAGTCCGAAGCGCATGCGTGTCGCTCCACAACCGTTCCAGTTTTGCCTTCTTTTGCGCATGCGCCAAAGTGCATGCTGCGCAGGCGCAGGAGGTGGCACCTTGTGGTGTAGGATAACCGCCTAGCGAGGCTCGTCCAGCCCACTTCCGGCGAGGGAAAGCGACAGAGGAGGAAGTGGTCCTCCAGTATCCCAGCCTGCACCGCGAAGCGAGCGGCGTCTTGCCTCTCCCTCCTTCCCTGAGCGGCTGGCCGCCATGTTGGGCTAGTTCTGTGTTCGGCGTCGGTGGTGAGAGACGCAGGAAGGCCTTCCCCGCGACGTCGCTGTCGTTCTCGCCATGGCAGCCGCCTTGGGGGCAGGAGGAGCAGGAGGAGGAGGCGGTGGCGCAGGTAGGGACCGAGGCGGCCCGCCCGGGAAGGCCGAGGGGGCGCGCCTGCCAGGCGGGGAGAACACTAGGCCCAAGTCGGGCCTGCTTTGACAGATACATACTTAGGCGATCCCTCGTTGGACGAGTAGGATAGTCTTCCATGATCAGTATTCTTGTGGAGCCCTATTATTGACCTGCATCTCCTCCCACAGTGAGCGCATTGGTTTCCAGGTGGAAGGCGGTCTCGGTCGGGGTTGGCTTGACGCGCCTTCCTCCTGGCACATTTCTCTCTTTCACCCTCCATTCGGTGCCTCTTCAAATTCTACAGTACTACTGGTCACAGCTGACCTCCAACTGGAGCGCTCAAGGGCCAGGTCTTCCCAGTTCTCAGTGTCTATGCCAGAGTTTTTAAGGTTGGATTTGAGCCCTACGGAGGTACACCTGGAAGCTACAAGGCGTAGAGCTTTTTCGACCTATGCTCCAATTCTCTCCAATTCATTGCCTCCATACATTAGAGCAATGTCGGAGTTGCGACCTTTTGTAAAGGCACTCAAGACTTGGCTGTTTGGTTGTGCATTTAAGTAATCAGATCTAATTTGCCAAATAGTCACTGTTGAATGTTTTTATGTTGAATGTTTTTATATTGTGTAAATGCTATTTTAGATTGTAAGTCGCTCGGAGCACCTTGGTGGAGAGCGACTAATTAAGAAATAAAGTGAAGTGAAATCTCTTTTACTGCCCACCAACATTCCGTTTTTGAGTTCGGAGTAGAGAGAGATGGTGGTCAGGCATCCGGACAATGGCCGGTCCAGCGGCGTTGATGGCGGAAGACCATCAATTCAGTGCTGGTGGTCTTTGCTTCTTCCAGCACACTGCTGTTTGTCCGCTTGTCTTTCCAAGAGATTTGCAGGATTTTCCGGAGGCAGCGCTGATGGAATTGTTCCAGGAGTTGCATGTGACGTCTGTAGACAGTCTACGTTTCGCAGGCGTATAGCAGGGTTGGGAGGACAATAGCGTTATAAACAAGCACCTTGGTATCCCTACTAATGTCCCGGTCCTCAAGCACTCTCTGCTTCATTCGGAAAAATGCGGCACTCGCAGAGCTCAGGCGGTGTTGTATTTCGGTGTTGATGTTGACTTTGGTGGAAAGGTGACTGCCAAGGTAGCGAAAATGGTCAACATTTTCTAATGTTACACCATTAAGCTGTATCTCTGGCATTGGAGAGGGGATGGCTGGTGACTGCTGGAACAGCAGTTTGGTTTTCTCAATGTTCAGTGACAGGCCAAGCTTCTCGTATGCTTCTGCGAAGGTGTTTAAATTGGCTTGTAGATCTTCTTCTGACAGAGGAAGCCCGGGGAAGCAGGTCGCACGGTTGCCAAAGGTTCCAGCGCAGGCCTGGGCCCAGGCCTGATTTAGATCTAGGTTTTCCCGCATTTTCTTGCTGATCGCTTTTAGTTCTATTTATTTATTTATTTATTTTATTTACCTTACTTATATACCGCTGTTCTCAGCCTGAAGGCGACTCACAGCAGTTCACAACAAATACGAACAGCAAAAATTCAGTGCTACAGTATAGAAACAGTTAACACATTACACAATTAATAAACAGTCACTACAATACCCATTCACTGTCGTCTCATCATCAAAAACATGTTCCAGATTCGTCATCCATTGTTCCATTCCAGTGTTCATTAACCAATCATTGCACTAATTATTCGAGCTATGGTTCTCGTTCCATATGCCAAAGAAGATCTTCATGAAAAACCCACATCCAGAATTCTGATGTTATTATTTATTTACCTTACTTATATACCTCTGTTCTCAGCCCGAAGGCGACTCACAGCGGTTCACAACAAATACGAACAGCAAAAATTCAGCGCTACAGTATAGAAACAGTTAACAACCTAACACATTACACAATTAATAAACATCTGCGAACCCCACCTCCTCCAAGATGAACTGAACCACCTCAACTGGGCTCTCCAGGCCAATGGATACTCCACCTCAGACATCAGAAGAGCTGCAAGACCAAGAACAAGCCACGAGAGTAAAGATGAAGTTCCACCCAGAGGAAAAGTGTTCCTGCCATACATCAAGGGAACCACTGACCGCATAGGGAAGCTGATGAGGAAACACAACATACAAACAATCTACAAACCCACCAAGAAAATCCAACAAATGCTACGTTCAGCAAAGGACAAGAGGGATCCTCTCACCTCGGCAGGAGTCTACCATATACCATGCAGCTGTGGACATGTCTACATAGGGACCACCAAACGCAGCATTGCCCAGACACGCATCAAGGAACATGAAAGGCACTGCAAACTACTTCAACCAGAGAAGTCAGCCATAGCAGAGCACCTGATGAACCAGCCTGGACACAGCATATTATTTGAGAACACAGAAATGCTGGACCACACCAACAACCACCATGTCAGACTACACAGAGAAGCCATTGAAATCCACAAGCATGTGGACAATTTCAACAGAAAGGAAGAGACCATGAAAATGAACAAAATCTGGCTACCAGTATTAAAAAACTCTAAAATTATAACAGCTAAACAACAGAGAGAAAAAAACCAGGCACAGATTAACACCTCCCAGCAACAGATTTTCCCAGGCTCAGGCAGGCCTTCAAATGCTAATGAAGGTGATCAGCTAAACATTCACACCTAACTGCAGCAGGGAAGAGCTCCTTTGCCCCACCCCAGCCATTCCACAGATATATAAACCCATTTTTCCTACTTCCAACAGACCTTCTCAACCTCTGAGGATGCTTGCCATAGATGCAGGCGAAACGTCAGGAGAAATGCCTCTAGAACATGGCTCTATAGCCCGAAAAACCCACAAGAACCTAATTAATAAACAGTCACTACAATACCCATTCACTTTTGTCTCGTCATCAAAAACATGTTCCAGATTCGTCATCCTTTGTTCCATTCCAGTGTTCATTAACCAATCATTGCACTAATTATTCGAACGCCTGCTCAAACAGCCAGGTCTTCACTTTTTTGCGGAATACCATTAGAGATGGTGCTAGTCTAATGTCCGTAGGAAGGGCGTTCCACAGCCGAGGAGCCACCACCGAGAAGGCCCTATCTCTCGTCCCCGCCAGCCGAGCTTGAGAAGCAGGCGGGATCGAGAGCAGGGTCTCCCCGGAAGATCTCAAAGTCCTGGTGGGTTCATAGGCAGAGATGCGGTCGGATAGGTAACTTGGGCCGGAACCGTTTAGGGCTTTAAAGGCCAACGCCAGCACTTTGAATTCAGCCTGGTAGCAGATCGGTAGCCAGTGGAGTTGGCGCAACAGGGGGGTTGTATGCTCCCTGCGCTCCGCTCCTGTTAAAATCATGGCTGCCGAGCGTTGGACTAGTTGGAACTTCCGAGCTGTCTTCAAAATGGCCGTCCCCTGCCACGCGTTGCTGTGTCCCAGTCTGGTGATCTGGAAAATAAAGTAACAAGAAAGTGTTGGTTTCTAATATATGTAATGTCTTTCTGCTTGTGGGTAAACAGTATTTCTTGCTGTTTCTTTGTCAGTGTTGATGTGGAGATTGTCTGGTTTGCCTACTCTGGGACATGCAACATATCATTGTCCTTCTTTAGGGGTCCCTTTCAAATCTTTGAAACTGCACCTGTCATATACATGTGTGTGTGTGTGAATGGCTAGATGGCCCTTTGTCAGGAGGGTTTTGATTATGTTTTCTTGCCCTGGTGAAAGGAGTTGGACCAGATGGCCTTAAGGCAGCATTTCTCAACCTGGGAAGTCAAGACCTGGGTGGGGGGGGGTCACCAGGGAGGTGGTACTATATTTGTCATAAACATATATGTGTGTGTGTGAATCATATATATTTATCTATATCTATGGCTGGATGGCTCTTTGTCAGGAGGGCTTTATGTTTTCTTGCTATAGTGAACCCCTGGGGGAGAGGTTGCGAAGGGGTGTCAGAAGGGTCACCAAAGACCACCAGAAAACACAGTATTTTCTGTTGGTCATGAGGGTTCTGTGTGGGAAGTTTGCCGCAATTCTGTCGTTGGTGGGGTTCAGAATTCTCCTTGATTGTAGGTGAACTATAAATCCCAGTAACTACAACTCCCAAATTTCAAGTTCTATTTTCCCCACACTCCATCTATGTTTATATTTGGGCATATTGAGTATTCATGCCAAGTTTGGTCCAGATCCATCATTGTTTGAGTCCACAGTGCTCTCTAGATGTAGGTGAACTACAACTCAGAAACTCAAGGTCAATGCCCACCAAAACCCTTCTAGTGTTTTCTGTTGGTCATGGGAGTCCTGTGTGCCAAGTTTGGTTCAATTCCATCGTTGGTGGAGTTCAAAATGCTCTTTGATTATAGGTGAACTATATATCCTAGTAACTACAATTCCCAAATGACAAAATCATAATTTTTTGAGTGATGGTCACTCCCTGTGTAGTGAAATGTTTTGTTGCCAAATTAGGTGTGATTTCGTTCATTGGTTCTTTTGTTTTTAAGGTACTCATTATGCACAGAGCATTTATATATATATAGATAATAATAATAGAAGATAATAATACTTTATTTATACCCCGCCACCATCTCCCCAAGGGATTGGAGCGGCTTACATGAGGCCAAGCCCAAACAACACATCAAAACAACAAGCAGTAATAAAATAACAAGCAATAAACAAAGTAAACAGTACAATTGATATAACTCACAAGTAGTCCATCTCAGCCTTTCTATTCCCATTGTGTTAAGGCAGTGGTTCTCAACCTGTGGGTCTCCCAAGTGTTTTGGCCTACAACTCCCAGAAATCCCAGCCAGTTTACCAGCTGTTAGGATTTCTGGGAGTTGAAGGCTAAAACATCTGGGGACTCATAGGTTGAGAACCACTGTGTTAAGGGCTTGTTCCGTGTTTCTTTGTTGTTTGCTCCATAGAGGGAGGGCTACTGGGTGTACAAGTCTGGTATAGAACAACCATGGTAGTCCACACTTTAGTTGCATCTTGATTGGACAACTGCAATGCCCTCTACATAGGTCTGTCTTTG